CCGCGACGCTTATGCCACGACGGTTCGACCAGGCACAACTATGCGTGGCACATTCTCACACCACAAGGGTGCGCAGGGGGTGTCTCCTCACCGCGGCCGCTATGCACGACGGTCGCCCGAGGCACAGCAGGCGTGTCACATTCTCGACACCACAGCGTGCCGCAGGGGTGGTCCCCCAACGTCGGCCGCTGAGCACGGACGACGGTCGTTCCAGCAACAAACCTAGCAGGCGTGGCACAGACTCTTCGACACCAACAGGGGTGCGAGGGGGTGGTCTCTCACCGCGGCCGCTATGCACGACGGTCGTCCAGGCACAGCAGGCGTGGCACTTTCTCGACACCACAGGGGGTGCGCACGGGGTGCTCTCTCACCGCGGCCGCTATGCACGACGGTCGTCCAGGCACAGCAGGCGTGGCACATTCTCGACACTACAGGGGGTGCGCAGGGGGTGGTCTCTCACCGCGGCCGCTACGCACGACGGTCGTCCAGGCACAGCTGGCGTGGCACTTTCTCGACACCACAGATAGTGCGCAGGGGGTAGTCTCTCACCGCGGCCGCTACGCACGACGGTCGTCCAGGCACAGCAGGCGTGGCACTTTCTCGGCACCACAGGGGGTGCGCAGGGGGTGGTCTGTCACCGCGGCCGCTATGCACGACGGCCGTCCAGGCACAGCAGGCGTGGCAATTTCTCGACACCAGAGGGGGTGCGCAGGGGGTGGTCTCCCTATGCGCGCCAGGGTCGTCCAGGCATTGCAGGCGTGGCATTTTCTCGACACCAGAGGGGGTGCGCAGGGTGTGGTTTCCCTGTGCGTGCCAGGGTCGTCCAGGCATTGCAGGCGTGGCATTTTCTCGGCACCAGAGGGGGTGCGCAGGGGGTGGCCCCCCTATGCGTGCCAGGGTCGTCCAAACATAGCACGCGTTGCATTTTCTCGACACCAGAGGGAGTGCGCAGGGGGTGGTTTCCCTATGCGTGCCAGGGTCGCCCAGGCATTGCAAGCGTGGCATTTTCTCGACACCAGAGGGGGTGCGCAGGGGGTGGTTTCCCTATGCGCGCCAGGGTCGTCCAGGCATTGCAAGCGTGGCATTTCCTCGACACCAGAGGGGGTGCGCAGGGGGTGGTCTCCCTATGCGTGCCAGGGTCGTCCAGGCATTGCAGGCGTAGCATTTTCTCGACACCTGAATGGGTGCGCAGGGGGTGGTTTCCCTATGCGCGCCAAGGTCGTCCAGGCATTGCGGGCGTGGCATTTTCTCGGCACCAGAGGGGGTGCGCAGGGGGTGGTTTCCTTATGCGTGCCAGGGTCGTCCAGGCATTGCAGCGTGGCATTTTCTCGACACCAGAGGGGTGTGCGCAGGGGGTGGTCTCCCCGCGCGCCAGGGTCGTCCAGGCATAGCATGCGTGGCATTTTCTCGACACCTGAAGGGGTGCGCAGGGGGTGGTCTATGCGCGCCAGGGTCGTCCAGGCATTGCCGGCGTGGCATTTTCTCGACACCAAAGGGGGTGCGCAGGGTGTGGTTTCCCTATGCGTGCCAGGGTCGTCCAGGCATTGCCGGCGTGGCAATTTCTCGACACCAGAGGGGGTGCGCAGGGGGTGGTCTCCCTATGCACGCCAGGGTCGTCCAGGCATTGCGGGCGTGGCATTTTCTCGACACCAGAGGGGGTGCGCAGGGGGTGGTCTCCCTATGCACGCCAGAGTCGTCCAGGCATTGCGGGCGTGGCATTTTCTCGACACCAGAGGGGGTGCGCAGGGGGTGGTCCCCCTATGCGTGCCAAGGTCGTCCAGGCATTGCGGGCGTGGCATTTTCTCGTATACCAGAGGGGGTGCGCAGGGGGTGGTCTCCCTATGCGTGCCACGGTCGTCCAGGCATTGCCGGCGTGGCATTTTCTCGACACCAGAGGGGGTGCGCAGGGGGTGGTCTCCCTATGCGTGCCAGGGTCGTCCAGGCATTGCAGGCGTGGCAATTTCTCGACACCAGAGGGGGTGCGCAGGGGGTGGTTTCCCTATGCGCGCCAGGGTCGTCCAGGCATTGCAAGCGTGGCATTTTCTCGACACCAGAGGGGGTGCGCAGGGGGTGGTCTCCGTATGCGTGCCAGGGTCGTCCAGGCATAGCCTGTAGTGCGGGATTGCGTATTACCTCTCGTATCCAAATGCCAGGCGACGCCGGATATGACCGTCACAGATGACTCCTCAACCCCTCCTCTCCCCCCACACGTCCTCCCCCTCCTTTCAACGACCACAGGGGGCACCTGAGAGCATGACGGCGGTGGTACTGGTAGCGCGGTTCACACAAGACATAAAATCAGTAGGTGGGGTTCCTCGGAAGCGTAATTAACATATGCGCCTCTTTCACACCTTTCAAGGCGGCCCAAGAAGCCCCAAAAATCACCCCAACACGGCCCGAGACACCCTCTAGACAGCTCAAAAACGGCCCAAGAGCGCTGCAAGAAGGCCCAAGAAACCCTCAAGAACTTTTTTTTTCGGAGCCCAGGAGGGCTCCAAATCGGTCCAAGAGGAGCCCGAGAAGCCCTCCAGACGGTCCAAGAGAGCCGGAAGACGCCGACATACCATCCCCAAGCGCCTACGATGGCCTCAAGACGGCCCAACAGGCCTTCAAGACGCCCCAAGAGGTCCCTAAGCGGCGTCCCGACAGGGCTCCCACAAACAAAAATCGTCTCATTCCCTTGGAAAAAACACATTTTTCGTCTTTCATACCTTTCAAAGCGGTCCAAGAGGCCCCCAAGATCACCCCAAGATGGCCCGAGAGACCCTCAAGACCGCTCAAAGACGGCCCAAGAGCGCTGCAAGAAGGCCCAAGAAACCCTCAAGAGCTCTTTTTCGGAGCCCAGGAGGGCTCCAAATCGGTCCAAGAGGGGCCCGAAAAACTTTCCAGACGGTCCAAGAGAGCCGGGAGACGCCGGAATAACACTCCCAAGCGCCTACGGTGGACTCAAGACGGCCCAACAGGCCTTCAAGACGCCCCAAGAGGTCCCTAAGCGCCGTCCCAACAGGGCTCCCACACGCAAAGATCGTCTCATTCCCTTAGAAAAACGTACATCTTATACATATCCGCCTCTTCGTCTTTCACACCTTTCAAGGCGGTCCAAAGAGGCCCCCTAGATCACCCCAACACGGCCCGAGAGACCCTCTAGACAGCTCAAAGACGGCCCAAGAGCGCTGCAAGAAGGCCCCAAAAACCCTCAGAAGCTCTTTTTCGGAGCCCAGGAGGGCTCCAAATCGGTCCAAGAGGAGCCCGAGAAGCCCTCCAGACGGTCCAAGAAAGCCGGAAGACGCCGACATACCATCCCCAAGCGCCTACGATGGCCTCAAGACGGCCCAACAGGCCTTCAAGACGCCCCAAGAGGTCCCTAAGCGGCGTCCCAACAGGGCTCCCACAAGCAAAAATCGTCTCATCCCCTTGGAAAATGTACATGTTTTACAGATGCGCCCTTTCGTCGATCACACCTTTCAAGGCGGTCCAAGAGGCCCCCAAGATCACCCCAAGACGGCCCGAGTGACCCTCCAGACCGCTCAAAGACGGCCCAAGAGCGCTGCAAGAAGGCCCAATAAACCATCAAGACGGTCCAGGAGGCCCCAAGACGGCCCCATGATTGAGGTCCACAGGGGCAACCTGAACGGAAATTTTGAGCCCCCCGCCCAAACGCGCCCCCGAAAGGCCCCTACAAGCCCCCAAGTAGCCCCACGAAGCCCCCAAGAGAGCCCCAAGGGGCCCCCAACAGGCTGCAAGAAAGCCCCACGAGGCCCCCAAGAGACCCCCAGGAAGCTCCCAGGAGGCCCCCAAGAGGCCAGGCAGACCCCCCCAAGAGACCACCAAGAGGGCCCACCCAGAGCCATCCACGAGGCCTCCCAAAGTTCCCAAGAAGCTCCCACGAAGTTTCCGAGGGCTCCGAAGACCCCACGAGGCCTCCAAGCGCTCCCAAGAAGCTTCCCAGAAGCCTCCAAGGGCTCCCAAGAGGGTCACAAGTACTCCTCCTGAGAAGCTCCCTGATGCTCCCAGAAGAGACTCCCAGAAGCATCCATGAGCTCTCCGAGATGCCCCCTGCCTAGATCCCCAACACTCAGTTTTCTCGCGTCCCTCACCCTTGGATCCTTCACTGCGTTTTCCTCCAATCTCGATTGGATAAGGATGAGCTTGGGGTGGTCCTCGAAATGTGTGGGGGGCTCTGGAGGTCAGCGTGAATTCTGAGAGGTTGTCGGTTGCGTCACTTCTGTAAGCACTACCAAGAATATGAATTCGCCGACCCAACGGGCCAGAGGCGTGTTAATATCTCCGGTAACTGCTAAAACATAATTCTACTTCGCGCGCGCGGGGCGGCCCCTGGGGGTCCCCGGACGAAAAATACCCCGGGCGATCCCCGGCAGACTCGGGTCAGGGATGGTTTTCCTCCTGGGCGCCGCCCCCGTGGCCCTCCAGAGAGCCCCAGGAAGGGCCACGAGGCCGCCAACAGCCCTCCAAGATGGTTCAAGAGTGCTCCAAGATGCCACACGATCGCTCCAAGACGCCCAAGATGGGTACCAGACGCCCCAAGAGGCCTCCAAGAGCACTCCCCAGAGGGACCCAAGAGGCAAAATTCATTACTTTCCCTTAGGTTTTGGGCAGATTGTGGCGTGTCCATCTTTTCGGCTTCCCGACACCCCAAGACGGCCCAAGAGGCCCCCAAGATCGCCCCAAGAGGGCCCAAGAAGCTTCCAAGAAGGCCCCAAAATGGCCCAAGAGGGCTCCAAGACGGCCCCAGAGGCATCCAAGACGGCCCAAGAGGGGCCCAAGAGGGCCCCGAGCGATGCCCCAAAGGGGGAACACAAAACAAAATTTCGAGCCCTCGGCCTTAAGAAGCCCCCAGGAGGCCTCAAGAGGCCCCTGAGAGGCCCCAAAAGCCCCCAAGAGGCCCTCAGGAGGCCCCCGAGCGACGCTGAAGAGGCCCCCGAGCGGCCCCAAGAGGCTCAGTCATGCGAAATGAGCCGGCGGAGTGAGCGAAGCGATTCAATAACACTCTCCCCCATTGTATGCCTCGAGGGTGCAATCGAATGCGCCTCCCTTGATCGGCATGTGTGACACGATAGCCAATGTCAGCGGCGTGTATGACAAATACGTGAGCCAAAAATATGGGAGAACCAATCTTTCCCCAATTCCGTGCCCATAACTGTGTTCTCTAATCGTGGACTGCAAACACGTCATGTTCGCGATAAGCTTGCACAATCTGTCTGAGAAGAAATAGATCGTCAAAAAAATTGGTAATGCGGCAACCTTCATCACGAACGCCGCGTCGGGCAACACAACGCACCCAAAACGGAGTTGCATGTCGGAGTTGACTACAGCATGGACCCAGGAAGTGCATGAAGTGACGACAGTGTGAAACGCGTCGAAATTCGAGTCCAATATGTGAGGGAACGTGGCGTAGAGCGTAACTATCCATCCCGACGATGCCTGCAAGAAAAGGAACAATATCCGGCCTTGCACCTTCACTACACGCATGGCGTGCGAGGTCAACAACTTCTCAAGCCGACTCGCAGCCCCTGCCACCGACTGGCTCACTCTGGAAGCGTGCGAGGCGACAGTAATAGACACAGCAAAACTGTCCGCCAAATCGCCCGTGGAAACCTCAATGGCACTTTGATCCGGATCGGCAAAGTTCAGGATCTGGCTGGCGTCGGGTCCGAATTCCCTCAGCGCAGGCCAGATAATGGCGATCGCAGCGAACACTGCCATGACAATATAGAACCGAATCCCAGCTCCAGTACACGGTACGCAACGCGAGTCAGAGCGTCCGAATCCATCTGCGCAAATCGCGCATGCACTGCCGGTGTAGCCGTTTGAGCAGTTGTTGTCCTCTAGACATGCGCCATCCCTCTCGCCCAAGGGGCACTTGACAGGCATTGCATTGTCCCCAGCAGGGAGCCAGTGTCTCGAAATCGCGGACACCACAACTCCATCAACACACACGCCACCCTGTGGACAAGGCTCGCACGTGCTGCTCCCGACTAGCATTGTACCAGCTGGACAAACGCAAGATGATCGGCTGTTGGTAGGCTGAAGGTCACCTGGGCATGCCTTGCAATTCGAAGATCCTTGCTCGGAAACCGTGCCGCCTTCACACTCCTGGCACAACGTGTCACCAAAAGAATACTTTCCAGCAGCGCAATCCTTGCAACTACTAGCGCTGCTGCTTGACATCTTCCCGGGTGGACAATCTTCACAAGTGATAGATCCCTGATTCGAAATCCGCCCCGTCTCACAGACTTGGCACTGCCCGTCGCCAGCCCAGTACTTGCCAGCGCTGCAATTTTCGCAAGCGCTACCACCTCTGTTCGGAATTTTCCCCACTGAGCAAGGCATGCAAGCAGCATCACCAATGCCTGAAATGGTTCCCGCCTGACACAGCTGGCAGACGGAGTCCCCAGCCGAATATTTTCCTGCATCGCAGTCTTTGCAATAGCTTGAACTGCTATGTGGCATCTTCCCTGCTTCACATGCCACGCACTCGTCTTGCCCCTGATTCGGAATCTCGTGCGGTTCACACTGCGAGCAACCATCACTTGTAAGGATTTCGCCTCGCGAGCAATTGCCGTTCGCGTAAGTGATGTTTACATCCGCTGGGAATGCCAACTGTCCCCAACTGGGTTTGGGGAAAAACATGGTCACGTGTCGCAAGTAGGAGTTCGACCAAAATGCGCGGTCAAACACGGCCCGAAGCGTGGACGGAAGCCTCACCTCTGTGAGCGATGTGTTCTCGAAAGCGGAATTCCTGATGATGAGAGCCCCTTCTGGGATCGAGACGGACTGCAAGGACGAGTCTGCAAAAGCGAACTCGCCGATTAGATAGATCGAGCTCGGTATTACGGCATTGCGCAAGTTAGCGCACCCCTGCCATGCATGCGAACGAACCTCAAACCCCTCACACACGTACACGACATCATCACACGTTCCTTCGGAGCTGCAAGCTATGCATCTGTTTGATTCCTTGTGGCAATAACTGCTGTTCGTGGTTGTGCAAATGTTCGCACCACACCCGCAGCGGCCCACCGTCGTGTCAAACAAATCCGCCGACCCCTTGTGGGTCTCTGGGCGTGTGAGAGAATTCCCCCCGCTTAGTCCCCCCCCAGGAACCCCAAACCGGCGATTTGACCCCCCCCGGTTGTCAGCTAGCAGCAGTCAGTCCTGTCAACTCCCTGCCCGAAGCCTCTCTGTGCTGTGGCTTTGGCTCAAGGGCGGGATACAATCTTTTCCATTCGTTTCACGTGGCCCCAGGCGCCACTACATTTCAGCACGGCTAGCGATGCTGTGACGACAGATACGTGAAGAGTCATCGTGCTGGGTGATAGATTTCTCGTCGGAACTTCCTGGGAATCTACTGCTGCGCCGATTCCGCCAACATGGCAGCGGAGCCATCGTGGAGGCCCACACTGAAGTCGACCGCTGGGTGTGAGACAACCGAGCAGGGAGTGCCGACGTGGAGTGGAGACCCACTGACGTTTGAGAGCTATGAGAATGTTGTTCCATGGTACCGCGCGGGACTGAAGGAAAACGAGAGGAACCTCGCCGCAGCTCGCCTGTGGACTGCGCTACGAGGTGCGGCCAAGGAGGCAGTGAAGGACATGAGGCCGAACGACTTTGTGTCAGGAGGTGTGGAAGCGTTGCTCAAACATCTTCGAGAAGGTCCGCTCGGCAAGATGCCGATCCCGGACGCGTACCAGAAGATCCGCAACTACGACCAGGTGATTCGCAAGCCCGGTGAGGTGATTGGCGAGTTTGTCATCAGAGAAGACAATCTGTTCAGGGACATGCGTTCGGCCTTGAAGCGACTTCGTTCAGACCGATTGCGACGCGAATCGGCTCAGGCGACGACGAGAACCGGGCGACCAGCTACCTCAGTGGTCAAGGAGTCGCCGACCGAGGAGTTCGAAGAAGCCGAGGAGGTCGAGGAAGACGCCGAGGCCGCGGACGCGACCGAGAAGAAGTCTGTGGTGTCGGCCCGACCTGGGGCTTCGATCGCCAAGTCGGAGACCCACGCGAGCTTCTTCGAGGCAGAACTTCGAGGGTACAGGCTGTTGCACAACGCGCGCCTGAGCAGGGAAGAGCGCCAGATGATTCTGGCAGCTAGGGCTCCCAACTTCGCGCTTCGCGCTGCGCGAAGCGCGAATAACTTCGCGCCCTCGCGCCGCCCCCCAAGGGGGAGAAGAGGAGGACGAGGAGGAGGGGGAGAAGGAACGAGGACCGCGAAGCGCGAAGCGCGAATAACTTCGCGCCCTCGAGGGAGCCCTTGCAGAACGACACCCGATACGAGTCCATCGTCACGCAGCTTCGCGGGTCGTGGGATGACCGAGACCTCCGAGACCGTGATAGAAACCAGCTCGGCAGCAGGGTCGTGGCTTCCGAGGCAGAGCCCTTCGCCTTCTCGGGTCGGGCGAAAGGGGGGGATAGCAAAGGGGGGGTTTGAGAATCAGCTCACGTAGCTGATTTTCCCGGCGCCTCCCGGCGCCGGAGGCGACCATGTATCGAGGAATGGGCCCCTCGGTGGGGCCGAAACCAGCTGCATGCAGCAAATTCCGTAACCCCCCCTTTCCCAATCCCCCCCTTTCGTCCGTCCCGATTCGAGAGCGCGGAAGAGATGGACGACGTATGTGCGGCAATCCGCGGTGAAGAGTCATCGTGGACAATCGACTGGAGCTACGACGAGAACGAAGACGTCTGGTGGTGTGCTTTCTATGCGGACGATGTGGGTCATACTACATGGGCTACGAGCTCGTGGGATTGGTCCAACAACGATGCCGGATGGAATACCTCGCCAGACCAGTGGGGCCAGGCAACAGCAGCGACCTGGACACCGGATTCAACTACGTATGCGACTGACGACTCGTACCTGGACGAGCAGGTGAATGCAGCCGAGATCCTCGCCGCCGAAGCTAATCGGACGCTGGCCGAGGCCAGGAGCGCCGTGGCAGAGGCGCGCAAGAACAGGGGGTTCTTTCCGCAGAAGGGCTCCGGCAAGGATGGCAAGAAGGGCGGCTACCAGGTGAAGGGATCATCGGCAGGACCTCAAAGACGTGGATGCCTGATCTGTGGTCGGCCGGGCCACTACTGGAGGCAGTGTCCCGACCGCTACTCCAACAAGGGCAAGAGCTTCGCGAAGGGCGGCTCCGGGTCCAAGGGCAAGGGCAAGGAGGGCAAGGTGCACTACATCGGAGGCATCTTTTGCATGGACATGATCCTTTCCCTCTCGTGCCCATCGTCTACGGAGACTGTCCTCGACTGCGGAGCTACGACGACAGCTGGAGGCGGTGACGCTGTCGAGAAGTTGGTTTCGGCTGTCACCGAGAAGTTCCAGGACGCGAAGATCGAGGTGGACGCAGCCGACAGGCCCTGGTTCAAGTTCGCGAACGGCCAGTGGGGCCAGGCGCTGTCCAGGGTGTGGTTCTTTGCGCCCATCGGCTGGCTGGGCATCTACTTGCTGGACGCCGATGAGGTGCCGGTGCTCGCGGGGGTAGACTGGCTGGATCAGCATGACGTCTCCTTCCGCAGAAACGAGTTGGAGATCTACCTCAGCGACAACAAGACCACCAAGGTCCAGCTCCGGAAGGGCAAGGGCGGCCACCGCTTGCTGGGCGTCCTGCGTTCGGCCGGCAGCTAGGGACAGCGCACCGGAGTCCCCCGCTCCCCGGGACTTACAGGTGACCAGAGAAAAGAGGGAGTACAGTATCAGGGCATCGGCGTGGGTGGTCTGATGATATGCGTACGATTACAGTTACAGAGTGTGATCCGACCGGTTGCGGACCTGGCCGAAGAGCGTGAGCTCGAGGGGTCGGATCGGGAAATTGGGCTGTCCGAGGATCGCTTCGACTACAGCGGTGCACTATCCGGACGGCTTAAATATCAACGGTTGAAAATGGGTTGCACTCTACCATGCCACGAGATTAATATGGTAGACCATGTAACGGGATACAGTCCAGAGCCAGATGAATCAGAACTTGGCAGATATGTTCGGGAAGACTGGTTTTCGAGAGTATTCAGAACTTTCAAACGTCCTGATGATGCTCGACGTTTTGGAATGTGCTGGCGTAGGACGACGTGTTTGCACAGTTCGGTGATTATCGAAGACGGTCCTGTGACGATTGCAACCCCTGGGAGTTGGCTTTATCGCCCATTGCCAGATGGGGTCAGTGCGATTCGTACCGAAATCTGGTTTCGTCCAACACCGACTGCACCATTGGCAATTCGGCTCCAAAGTATTCGAGATCAGCTCAGCGCTTTTCAATCTTCCATGCTTCGTCCTGATGGGCGACAAGAGGCTCTACCCCGACCTACCATGTGCGGCGGCAGAGCAGACGGACTGGTCTCTGAGCAAGGGGGCCGAGCCGAAAGATCCTCGCATGACCAGCTGGCCATGCCAGGGGACCCATACCTTGTCGAGCTACACCAGCAACCGCTTCGGAGTGTGGCTGGCGTGCGAGAGGTGCGCTCTCAGGCTGGACTACGCTCCGAAGATGGGGTACAGCGGCAAGTACCGCAAAGAGCCGAAGGCGGCCCTGGTGACGGCGGCTCTTCGCCGGCTCCAGGAATCGGGGGACACTCCGACGGCCGCAAGGGTCGAGGCGCACATGAAGGCCATCGAGGCGGAACGCGTCATCGAGACAGGGCACTACATCAAGAGCGACCCGGACAAGGAGGGCTACTGGACAGCTCGCAAGACCAAGACCGAGGGCGTCAAGGTCGAGATCAAGACCGATCCAGGGGGGCCATCGGCGGCAGCCAGACCGTCGACCGGAGTGCCGACCGCGGTGCGCACCGTGCGCGTGGTCGGAGCGGACCCAAGTTCTGCGGCATCGGATTCAACAGCCCGCAGCAGCACGTGGGATGTGGTCTCGAGTGCCGCGGCGGACCTGGACGAGACGCCCACGTTCACGACCAAGCAGAGGGACCTCCTTATCAAGTGGGCAGTCTTGGCGCGGGGAGTCATACGCCTGAAGGTGAAGCCAGAGGTGAAGCAGGAGGCCTACGTGGCGATGCCGGTGCCGGGGGACATGGGAGATGTCCTCATGAAGTGAAGCAAGTTTCGATCAAGCAGCGCCGCACGATCCAGAGCGGCATGGCGGCACTGGGCATGCTCGTGAACGGGCTGATGCTGGGCCTCGTGCAGACAGGTTCGGCAATGCGAGTGGACTTCGCCGAAGTCGCGTGTTCTCCAACTTCGAGGTTGACAGCCGGACTGATCAATGAGGATTTCAACTGCCAGCGCATCAACCTGGAGCAGGGCTACGACCTCCACAAGAAGGACGACGCTCGTCGTGCCAAGGAGTGGTTCAATACGACGTGCCCTCGCAAGGCGTGGTTTTCGACACCATGTACCTACTTCTCGTTGATGCAGAACCTTACACCTGAACACAAACGACGACCTGGCAACTGGGAGAATTTCCTACGACCGCGACTTCGGGCTCGCGCTATGAATGGGCACTGCGTGGATATGGCCTTGGAAACTCTACGACACGATGGTGATATCTACTGGGAGTGGCCGTACAAGTGCAGTGGCTGGTCTACACCGGAGCTCAACCGGTTCAGGCGCGCGGCGGAAAAGATCATCGGACGACCTCTCCGCATGGTGAGGGTCGACGCGTGCCAGGTCGGCATGCGCGACGAGCATGGCGTGCTCAGGAGCAAGTCTTGGGGTATCCTCACCAGTTACGAGAATTTCACGCAGTGGATGGCACTACACTGTACGAAAGACCATCCTCACAGCACGCTCGAGGGGCACGACGCTGTGGCGGCGTCGGCCTACTATCCGGATCCGATGATTCGGAGATTGGTCAAGGGTTTCGCCAAGGACCTGCGCGGTCAGGATTTCGCGGAGGACTTCTGGGCGATGAGCGCGCTGCAGGACTGCGAGGAGCAGTTGTACGGCATCGAGTCGGGCATAGACAAGCACTTCAAGAAGATGCCGGAGGACAACGTCACGCTCGACAAGGTCAAGTCCTGGTTGATGGACCTCCACATTCTTGGTGGACATATGTCCAAACCAACATGAAGGCGATGCTCCAGAGACGCGGGTGCCCAAGTTGGCAGCAGGCGCTCGTGGACGAGCTGATCTGCGATGCCTGCACCGAGACCCAGGACACGCAGCACCAGGCTGTGGTGTCACTCTCTTTGCCACCAAAGTTGTGGCAGGCGGTGAAGCTGGACTGCTTCGAGCTGGAGGTGCACCACAGGAAGCTGTTCGCGGTGCTCTACATGGACGCGGCCTGCAACTTGGCAGTTCGCAGCGTCTTCAAGGAGGTGGATACCAAGGGCAAGAAGGCGTACTTCGAGCCGTCTGGCGCCCAGGTGTTGTCGGCGTTCCTGGAGGATTGGTGGCAGCACAAGCCGCGGTGCCAGTTCCTGATCTCGGACCCGGGCGGCGGCTTCGTGAGCAACCAGTTGCGCGAGTGGTGTGGCAAGAACGCCGTGGGCATCATCCAGAGCCCGGGCGAGTTCAATGGTCTGACGGCCGACCTGGAGATTCTTATCAGGCAGATCAAGAAGACCGCTCGACGCATCTCCTTGGACGAGCCGACGCTATCGTTGGCCGACTGTGTGTCGCTGGCCTGCGCCGCTCACAACAACCAGCACAAGGCGTCGGGCTACACACCAGTCCAGTGGGCGTACGGTACCAATCACCAGGGCTACCAGTTCGCGGAGGAGGCTGGTCGCCTGGATGGAGACGGCTTGGCACACACCGAACTTCATCGTCTTTTGGCAGAGCGGGTCTACCTGGAGGAGCAGGCTCGTTCAGTGGCGACTCGGCTTCGGCACTCCATGAGGCAGAAGCTTCTCTCGATCAAGATCGGCGACTGGATCATGTACTTCCGCCGTGGCAAGAACACTGGAGCTCGAGGTTCGTGGCTCGGACCTGCGAGAGTTTTGGCCATCGAGCCGAAGGTCAACCTCCAGCGTGAACGTGCCGACGAGTCCGCTTCGATCGAGGACGAGATTTCGGTGGTGTGGATCGTACATGGCACGAGGCTTATTGGGTGTAATCCGACACAGCTGAGGTCGAGCAGTCAGCGCGAGGCGGTCGTGGCATCGCTCAAGGGTAACATCGACAGGGACTCGCCGACCAACGCCTCCAATGTCTTTCAGGGTGCTGGGCGTGGTGAGTTTACCGATTTGGCAGGCGACCTACCTTCGGAGCGCGAGATTGCCGAGAGCCTTGCAGACCTACCAGAGCAACCAGGACCAGGTGATGATTTTCTCCAAGGAGATCGGCGTGAATTTCGTGATGGTGCTCAGGCTGGAGACGACGGTGCAAACCTTCATCCAGTTCCTCGAGATGGTCCTCCAGATTTGTCTCGAGTACCAGTTCCAGAGAATGATGATGAACCAAACCGAGATCTTCACCAAAGGGACCAAGTCACGGGTGATCAGGACTGGAAGCCGATCAGGCGGGTCCGGTTGAGGTACAAGGCATCTCCCTACGACACGCCTCATGGACCAGAAGCGACGTCGGCGGCACCAGAGGAAATCACCAGTGGCCCTGCAGGTGCTCTGATTGGCGATGAAGCCGCGGTAGTTCCCCGAGAGGGTAGCCCGGCAGAGCCTCTTGGGGTGGGACCCGACTCTGCGGACGGGCCGTTCGCAGAGGGTTTCGCGGGAAACCAGGATCCTGCCGGGGAGGCCCCCACTGGTGAAGCAGACGAACGTGACAGAAAGGAGCCAGAGGCCAAGCGCATCAAGCTCGGAGAGATGGATTTCATGACGCGCGACTTCGAGGACGAGGTCAAGTACCTGGAGGCTTGGGACAACTTCAACAACCAGTCCGTGGCCTACCTGAAGGACACGACCATCGAGCGCGAAGTGATCGAGGTCGCGACCGATTTCACTCACATCGGAGCCTTTCTTCAAGACTCTACGGTCTGGCTCTCCAAGAGGCTTGGCGACGGCAAGGCGACAGAGGTCACCTACTCCAAGCTGGCGCCAGGGCAGCAGCTCGAGTTCGACGAGGCGATGTGCAAGGAGATCAGCCAGGTCATCGCGACCAAGGTCTTGAAGCGGATCGCTCAGGAGGAGCTCACCGAGATCGACGAATCGCGGTTGCTCAAGATGCGCTGGGTCCTCACCTAGAAGTACCAGGAGGGTGGCGCACGCAAGCCGAAGGCTCGGCTAGTCATTCTGGGCTACCAGCACCCGAGTCTGACGGAGCTCTCTACGGCGGCGCCTACGCTGGGGAAGCTGGCTCGCAACATGCTGTTCCAGGTGTGCGCGCAGCACAAGTTCAAGCTCAAGTTCGGCGACGTCAGCTCAGCTTTCCTCCAGACCGACGCGAGCGAGGAGTTCGAGAGTCTGAACGTGAAGGTTCCTACGGAAGTGGCTCATGCTTTTCCTGATGAGCTGGGGCGTCCTTCGCAGATCTTGAAGATGGTCAAGTCTTTCTATGGATTGACGACAGCTCCGAGAGCATGGTGGCTTGACATGTCACGCAAACTTCGTGACCGAGGTTAGCGGCAACTACGTACCGACCAGTGCGTGTGGATCTTGCTGGATACCAACAACCAGCTGAAGGGTATCATCGGCGTCCACGTGGATGACTTCATCATCGGCGGCGACGAGACGTCGAAGCTGTACAGGGACGCGGAGAAGGCCATCAAGGACCTCTACAGATGGGGCGCGTGGACTTCCGGCCAGGCCGAGTTCAGTGGACTACGCGCTCGCCAGTTCAAGGATTTCTCGATCACGCTGGACCTCTACGACTACACGAACAAGTTCATCACGGAGGCCGAGATCGACGCCGACCGCCAAAAGCAGGCTCATCTACCACTCGAGCCGAAAGAGATCTCACTGCTTCGTGGGGTACTGGGTACGGCCAGTTGGAGGGCACAGCAAGTGCCCCCACAGTATGCGGTGGACGTTGGGCTTGCCTTGTCTCAAGTCAACAACGCCAAGATCAGCAACTTGGTGAATGCCAATAAGCTTGTCAAGGACATGCGTAAATCGGCGTCGCAGGTGATCAAGTCCCACCGGTTCGAGAACTACGATTGGCACGAGTTGTGGATGGTGCAGTGGGCGGACGCTAGCGACAAGCTCAGGCCCGACGGCAGCAAGACTGGCGGGCTGGTGACAGGCCTCTCGACTCTGGATTTCGCGAATGGCAGCATGGCAAACGTTTCGATACTTGGATGGAGATCCTTCAAGCTGCCTCGCAAGATTTCGGGCTCCAACAACAACGAGACGCAGTCGACCGCGTTCGGCGACGAGATGTTGTGGTTAACCTCATGCCCGTGAGAATAAACACTAGGGGATAATAAAGTTCGGGGTTCAGGGAGAGATAATAAAAGTAGCCCAGCAGACCTCAGCATAATCTCGAAGTAGGAGATGATCAAGAGGAGACCAAGCAGAGCACGTTTTGAGACATCCTTGGCGTTTAGTTTTCATAGAAATATCCTCAACAATGGCTTATCTCGCTGGAGACATCCTCGACAAATCCCTTGTTTCGCTTGAGACATCCGCAAACTATTGCTTATTTCGCTTGAGACACAGTCAAACTATTGCTTATTTCGCTTGAGACATCCTCGAAATAATTGTGTGTTTCGCTTGTAACGTCCTCAAATTATCGCTGATTTCGCCTGAAACATCCATGAAAGAAATGATAGGAGGAGGAGAAGGACGAAGAGAAGAAAAATCTCGAGTTTCAAATCTATTAGATTCTATTTACAAGCGCTTTATGAAAATTGTTTTTTGTAAGTGCTCGTGTAGGGTAGCTCATGTGCCTCAGTTCCCATGGATAAAACAGTTCAGGCGAGCGTGGGGACAGAGAGAAATATAAAAGAAGAAGAATACAGTAGAAGAATAATTAGAACGAAGAAGAAGAGGATACTAAGAAGAGGACGAAGAAAGGAAATATCGAAAGTTCCAAATATATCAATTTTAATTTACAAACGCTTTATGAAAATGGATTGTTTAAAGTGCTCGTGTAGGGTAGCTCATGTGCTTCATTTTCCATGGATAATCAACCCCAGGGATAAAAAAGTTCAGGCGAGCGTGAGGACATATAGAAATATAAAAGAAGAAGAGGAAAGTAGAATAATAATAAGAAGAGAAGAAGAAGAGAAGAAGAAGAAGAAGAGAAGAAGAACGAAAAAATGGAAAGTTCCAAATCTATCAATTTTAATTTACAAATGCTTTATGAAAATTGTTTTTTTAAAGTGCTCATGTAGGGTAGCTCATGTGCTCCCCTTTCCATGGATACTCAACCCCAGAGAGAAAAAAGTTCAGGCGCGCGCGGGGATATACACATATATAAAAAGGAATATAATAAAAATATGAATAAAAAGAACAAACTTGCTGGTTTAGCTTGAAACATCCTTGAGACATCCTTGGAACATTGCTCGTTTCGTTTGAGTCTGCCTCCCAAAATTTGTGGTTTCGCTTGACACATCCTGAAAAAGTGTGATCGCTTCGCTTGATGCTGCTATATCAACATCGCTTGATGTTGCTATCTCAACATAGCGTTTCGAGGTGATAATGAAGTTCGGCCTCAGCGCTCGCCGCCCAATTTGAATTTTGTATAGGGCGACGATAATCAACTCTAAACACTGAAGGGGGGGGGGGGGTCCCTTTATTATCATCGGCATGCGGTTATCTCGACTGATGTGGGCAGAATTCCATGGAGTCGAACCGACCCGTTGGAAGTTGGACGACACTGTCAAGACCGTGCCAGGCATGCTCATCACAGATTCGCGCGGCATCTACGACGCGATCTTGAAGTCGGAGTCTCCCCAGTTGGGCATGCGCAGCTTCAGATCAGGCGAGGAGGCCAGAGGCATCAAGGAGCAAATCTTGCGCACGGACGTGTCTTTCAGATGGGTGAACGGTTTGGCCATGCTGGCAGATAGCCTGACGAAGCCGGGATATCCGGCTCGACATGTGATGGAGGAGTTTTTGGCCACGCAGCGCTGGAAGTGTACGTTTGACGAGATGTTCCAGAGCGGACGTCGGAGGCAGCGCGACGGCAAGGGCGCTTTCACAGACGCGCCCGAGGAGGCCGACAGTGGCTGTATGGAAGGCTTTTTGGATCCTTTAGAGTCGTTGTGCGACGATTCCTTTCTTTCTGATTCGACTCGAAGCCTAATGAGGTCTCGGTACATGTAGCTTCAGGACTGAGAAGAGTATAACCGGTGTTAGCTAGCAGCAGTCAGTCCTGTGCACTCCCTGCCCGAAGCCTCTCTGTGCTGTGGCTTTGGCTCAAGGGCGGGATACAATCTTTTCCATTCGTTTCACGTGGCCCCAGGCGCCACTACATTTCAGCACGGCTAGCGATGCAGATACGTGAAGAGTCATCGTGCTGGGTGATAGATTTCTCGTCGGAACTTCCTGGGAATCTACTGCTGCGCCGATTCCGCCAACACCGGTGCCCCCCCCCCCCGCCGACCACGAGCGCGCCACGGGGCTCTGTTGGGCCCAAAGGAAGCTCAAAACGAGCGAAAAAGGCCTCCACACGCGTCCAAGACGGCCCAGGAGGGCCTCCAGACGCCAAACGAGCGCTCCAAGACGCTCAAGATGGCCCCGAGACGAGCCAAGAGGCCTCCAACCCGGCCCAAGAGGCCTCCAAGAGCAGTCCTCAGAAGGGCCGCGGAGCCGAAAATCTTAAAATCCCTATGGGAAAACGTACATTTTGATAATATACGACTTGTCGGCCTCACGGCGTTGAAGACGGCCCAAGAGCACCCCAAGACCGCCCCAAGACGGCCCAAGAGGCCCCCAAGAGGCGCCCAAGTCGGCCCAAGAGGGCGCCAAGACGGCCCAAGAGGCCCCCAAGACGGCTCAAGACGGCCCCAAGACGGTCCCAAGAGGGGCCCAAGAGCGGGAGCTTGAACCGACAATCCGAGCCTTCCGCTCCAAGACGGCCCCAGAAAGCCCCAAGAGGCCCCAAGAGGCCCCCAAGACGCCCCCAAAAAAATCCCAAAACGCCCCCAAGACGGCCCCAAACCCAAACGGCCCCAAAACGGCCCCCAAGAAGCTTCGAAACTGCCTCCAAGAGTCCCGCGAGAAGCCCCCCAAGAGATCCCAGAAATCAGGGACTCCTTTTGCACGTCTTGCACTTCAGTGGTGCTGTCCAGAAATTCTACAAGTCTACTATCTTTCCGCCCCCAGGAACCATACGGAGGCCCCACAAGTGTTCCAAAAGAGCGTCAGATGCCCCCGAGTGGCTTCAAAACAGCCTTCGTGCCGCGAGATCCCGATACACATTCGAAAAGCATCTAATCCATAACCAATAACACAAGCCTCATCTCAGTGTCCTCCTCCTCCCCTCCTCTTCCACCTCCTCCTCGTCCCCAACCTCTTCTTTCTCCACCGCTTCATCCTCCTCCTCTTCGGCTCCTCTCCCCCCATCCTTCTCTCCCTGCATCTTGTTCCTCCCCAGCACACGCGCCCGATTGGGCATCATTTGCACGTATTGCATTTCAGGGTGCCCTTGTTTGGCATCGCGCGCGACCTGGGTAGGGTCGGGGAACGCCGACTTCGGTAGTCTTCTCTTGCACGCGCCGCTGCACTGATACGCCTGGCAACTGCGGGCTGCGAACCCGAGTTCCTTGCAGCCCCCGCGCCCCACTTTCACTCCTTTCGCCGCTCGATGATGTTTCTATCGTTTATGCTTCAAATGTTTCGTGTCCGGGAACGCTTCCCCGCACGCCGCGCACGTCAGCGGTTTCGCGTCCGCGCTGGCTTTCCGTTTGCGATTCCCTGCTTCGCATTTCGTCCGCAAAACCGCCTTCTCCCGCTATTCCGCGCACTTCCGACAGAGCCTCTCCCCTGCTGCTCTGTTTTTTTATATTTTTTTCTTTCCCTGAGCTTCGGACATCCTCGCCCCCTCTAGGCACTCCAACAGGCAGTCGCGGTTCGAACACCGCAACGTGACCACGCGTTTCCTACTATTCGACGCAAGCGTCGTCCCTAGACGTTCTGACGCGCATTTCCGACAGAGCCTTTCCCCCGCAGCATTGTGCTTCTTCTGAGCTTCCGACATCTCCGCCTTTTCGTCATACAGCGACAGGCGCTTACCCTTCGCCCATCGCACCTTGCCGGCGCCCTCGTTCCACTTCGCGTTGGCGCGCCGCGACTTCTGCTTGGCTTTGACATGGCTGCAACTCGCGCAATACATTGTCCTAATCCTTCTCGCCCCCCCGTCGTCGGCCGCCGCATCCGCGTTCAGACCGCTACCTTGGCGCGCCGCGTCGTCACCCCCTGCTTTCGTTGCCCACCCTCTGCACGTCGTGCACCACTTCTCGCCCGCGTTTTCCACATCCTCCGCGCGCTCTTCGCAGGGTGCCGGTCTTTCCTTTCTCTGGAATTCGTACTTCGTGAACGCCTCTACCAACAACCTCCGCCGGCAGCGCTCGCGCTGGATTCGTGGCATTAGTACCGCTTCCCACTCATCCCAATCCACTTTCCCCCCGCGAAGCACCTGCAATAATTTCCGCGCGCCCGGCATCCCCCCCGCGTTGTGCGGCTTCCTCTCGAAAAGGCCTGAAAATCAACGAGTCCCCCCGCCCCCGCACGCGCGTGATGGCTACGTAACTTGACATCCAACTCACGCCGCGCCCTCTTTCGAGGTCCGCAATCACTGCGGCCATGGTCCGGCCCTGCGCAGAGTGCGCCGTTACTGCCAAAGCTGGGGTGATCATGAACTGCGTGCGCTTCGCACTCAATACTGGATGCTTCCGATATCCGCCCAAGAACCACTGGCGCCCTTTCGATGGGAAGATCGGATACAGCCCCGGCTCCCACCCTGGCAGGCGCCACTCTTTCGCATGGAAGTCCAACACAATCACTCTCGGAAGATGCATCAATACTTCCTCTTCTGCATCTCCAACGACCTCATCCTCGTGCAACGCCCATCCATGGATCGTCGCTGTGCGGCCCCGCAGAAGCTGCTTCTTTGACCAATCCAAGTGATCACCCAAAGCCACGGGCATCCCCTTGGCCAACGGTAGCCAGCCGGGCAAGCTTGCGCACTCCTTCTCGTGGTACCCCAGCCAACGTATCTTATCCTCCACCGTGCACGGCCGCCTCTGTTCCCCCCGTGGCAAGGGCGGTCCCTGGCTGCGACCCGCAGCAGCTGTTCTCCTCGCCCCTTCGCCCGCTGCGCAGCTCTCTGCTTCCCGACGTGGCAACGAATGTCCTGATTCGCATAAATGGCGACAACTTCCAGGAATTTCTCCTCCCGAATCCGCGCGTCTTCTGGCGACGTCGCAACGAGCTTTCTCTTCTCCCGCTCAGCTTTGCAAGCGTCACATTCGAGCTCGTTTTGCTTCGCAATTGCCTCTATGTCTTCGAGACAACACGCGTTTCCGCACAACGGTGCACCGTTCGCCCGCGACCCCAGCACATCCGCCGGCGCGCCATGCAAAAAATTGCGCGCGCGTTCAGACAACGCCCCTCGGCGGAACTCGTCCTGCACAGCGAGAAACCAGTCGTCTTGATCCTCCGCGCGCTTGCACTCCGTCAACTCCGTCACGCCCTGCACTGCCCCTTCGCCTCCACCGCCCCAAAAGATATACTGTCCGTGGTCCTCCGTGGCACCCGGCGCGTACTTCCTCGCGTTTTTTAAAATACGACGTGGGAAACGCATTGATTGCCGCCCCTGATGGCGGCTCCAATTGATAGAAGCCGCCGCAGAACACCACGCTCACGCCACCGAAGGGCCTGGCCACGCCGTCTCCACCTACCTTCCTGTCACTCGCAGCTGACATGCGCGACCGCAAGTGCGAACCCAGCTCTGCAATGAAGTTCGCGCTGACCATGCTCACCTCGTCCACAATCAGCCACTTCCACTGTGACATACGCTGCGCCGCTAGCTCTTTCTTCGATTTCTTCTTCGTCTCTGCGTCGGCATCGCCCGCCGCGACCTTCTTCTCTTTCGTTCTGTTCACACCGAGCCCAAACGCACTGTGAGTCGCATTCCCGTCGAGAGCTGGCGCGTTTGTAGCCTGCAACGCTGCCGCCTGGAAATCTACGCCGCGCACCCACCCCAGCTCTTTTTTCGAACAGCTCCTTCCGAATCTTGGCCATGACGAAAGTCCCCCCGGCCCCCAGACCACCGTGCAACATCCACACGAGGGGCTGGCTATCATAACTACTCTGGCCTGTTTTCGTGCCGCTCGCGGAACTCGCGAATTCTTGCGCCAACACTCGATCTGCCACCTTCTCAACGACGCTACGCTGGCCCGCGTTCAACCCGCCATCCGCAAGCTCTTTTCTCCACTTCCGCACACTTGACGCAGATGCTTTCCTGGCCGCCACCACCTCTGGTGCACCTTCCGCTCCACCCGCGCCGCTGCCTTCTGCGGCCCTCGACGCCGCCGCCACCGCTGGCGCTTTCTGCACTGCCGCGTCATCCCACCTCAACACGCCTTCTCCTTCCGAGCTTCTTGCGCTTTCGATTCTTTCGACTCGGTCTCTCGCCCCACACGACGTCGCCTCTAGCCATGGCCCCCCGGCTCTTCTCCTTTTTCACACTCCGCCTCGGCATTTGTCCGCCTGTCCTCTTTCTCCATGGGCGCGCCTCCCACGTGCGTCTTCCGTCTAGTCGCCGCGTCGACAATTCTCGGATCCAGTTCTTCATCGCTGCACAGCTCGTCCTCGCGCTTCGCAAGATATCCCTCCGTGACTGGTCGCAAGTCCACCATGCACATGTAGTTCTGCACGCGCCTCTTCGTTTCTTCACATGGCGTGCCCTTCTTCAACCACGCCAGCGACGCCTCCGCCCACGACCCCTGCTCTCCGCATAAATCACGCAGGTGCGGCACTCCACAGTCGACGTCGTCACGCTGCGTGAACGCTCGAAAATATACCATCAACAAAAGCCCGTTCCTATCCTCCTGGCGCGCGTTTCGCACCAGCACCCACGCGCGCCTCAAAATTTCAAGCTCAAGAATATCTGGAAACGGAACCCACGAATAACTCCCCCATCCCTCCTTGATCACATAATTCGCTCCGGCTTTCAACTGGGGTCCGGCCTGCGCACCGCTTTCGTCAGCATC